GGGGCTACTGAGAACAGAATTCTGACCCTTTTTACGACTGCTTTTATAGATTATGGAATAAACATCAAAGTAATAACTGAAGGACTGAAAAGAGATTTTGCAGTCAAATATTTGAGAAAAATATTAACATTGATAACTAGAAACAGCTTAATGGGAGAGCAGATCTATGGCATTTAATAATCAATATTATTACTTGCATTAATATTCCATGTTTTTCAAAGTTTTTATAATCATAACTGTCATTATTCCTCAGAGAAAACCTGTGGGCACAGGAGAGGTTATTTCCAGAAGAAGAAACTGATGCATAGAGATAATATACATAGTTCAAGGTATATTTACTTGAGGTGATCTTTTAGCAGATCAGGCTTTAGCACCTTTCAGCTTATGTTTCACTTGGGGACATACTCTGTTGTGCACTACTGCGTTATCTCCAGAATTCTTTCTGAGTCCCTTTATGATTTTTGGATCAGGCTGTATTTTGCTACTCAGCTTCGCACTTCCTGTTCTATGCCTTTAAGTATATTTAACACATATATCGTATACCCTAACCTTAGCCTATATTTAGCTGACCCTAAGAGCTCAGAAGACAGAAGGCATAAAATGTCAAACAAACAAAACTAGAGCATTGAAACAATGACCCCTTATTACAATCCAGCCCTGCAGATTAGTCCATCCCTTTTTTCAAGGGTATAAATTGTTTACCATTGAGGGCCTTGGTTTGTTGCTGTGTTTTACTTTATTTTTGCAGAGAACTAGGTGATAGGGTGGATAAGTTTGGGGGAAGGAAACCTGGGATAGAGATGTAATTTTTTTTGAAGTTTATTTCAGAGTACATGAGTATCAGAGCACATCAGGGAAATTAAAGAAGTGTAGATGCACAGAGCACAGCAGCTTCCTGAGTTTCCTACAACTCTTTATATTTCCTTCTAGAAGCATCTGAGGGAAGGGCTCTGTCTTGCCATTGGCCACTTTTTGCTCTTTGGTAGGTTCTTTCTCTCACCTTCAGAAATGGTGGGAAAAAGGGTAAGAAAAGGACTAGGACAGCAGGATTCCTGTGAAATTCCTCAAGTTGTATGGGACATACGATATGGAGTTTTTTAACATCACCTAAGTTTTGTTGTTAACCTCCTGATTTTAGTCTTTTTTGTCCTTGTAGCAATAAATTGGAACTCTCACCTCTGCATCAAATTTGACTAAGGTTAAAAATAAATTAGCAAGTTTGAGCATGGAAGAAGTGGCCCAGCTTCTCCTTCCTCCTTTTCATTTTGTTTCGGTTTGAATGAGAAAGAGGTGGCTCACACAATTACCAGAACAGCAACTGGCTGGATATCTCTGTGCTTTGAGCCAATAATGATACTTTTGTGGGAAAGTTTCCAATTCTTAAGTCTCAGTTATGTAGAGGTGGGAGGCAGCTGGTGTGAATGTCTGTCTGCAGGGTACGTGCACACTTAGTCTGATCCAGTGAGGCATGACAGCATTGTGTTTACTCTAGAAAATAATTATCTCCATTTTCTTGTACTCTAACCTAAAACTTCTTCATCTTTACCACTTTAAGAAAACAAAACAAACAAACAAAAAGATAAAAAGGAAGGCCAAAGATAATGTTGCCACAATATTTTAAGATCTCTCAACCACCTCTAGTGAGGCATATCAGTAATGAAATTATGCTAAGTCTGAATGGGCCACATTAACCCATCATATTCCTCCACAACTCCACCATCCTCCCCCTGGGGTCTCCATTCAATTAACTGCCATCCTCATTTCCTCGAGTTTTTAGAATCTCTTGATTTCACTCTCTCTTTCATCCCTCATATCCAAGTGGCCACCAAATTAAAATGGTGTGTGCAAGCTGTTGTGGTGAGGAGGACACAGGAAGCACATGAGGACAAATTTAGCTGTGGGTTGTCAGAGAAGATTTCATGTAGCCAGAAGAGGGCTTTATGTATCTTCCATGCAACAAATTTTTATTAAACACTTACTATGGGTCAGACTTTATGCTAGACTCTGTAGAGTTAGTTAGAAAGATAGACACAATCCCCGCTCTCCTTGTGCTTAGAAGACGTCAGAAGATGTCAGAAGAGGGGAGAAATAGACATGAAAACATAGGCATAAAATAGCTATCTGTCTGTCTACCTAAGTGTAGTAGTCCACTTCTGTTGCTTATAACAAAATACTTGGAACTGGATGATTTCTAAGAAAATGAAATTTATTGCTTACAGTTTTGGAAGCTGGGAAATCCAAAGTCCAGGGAACACATCTGATGAGGGTCTTGGTGGTGGCAACAGTGACCCAGGGGTCTCACATGGCAGAAAATAGTGGAGCACAGATAGACTAACATCTCATGTGCTCTTCTTTTAAAGCCCTCAGAACCACACCACTGACCATCATTATTAATCCACTCACTAAGGCATAGTCCTACAATCTAATCACCTCTTCAAGGCCCAATTTTAATTACCATAATAGGATTACCAACCCTCAACAGTTACAGAGGGAATTAAGCTTCTAATATATGAACTCTGGGGGACACAATTCAATCAATCCACAGCAGTTGCTTATAACAGAATACCTGAATATGGGTAATTTATAAAACTAAATTTACTTCTTACATTTTCAGAGGCTGGGAAGTTCAAAGTCCAGGGAATACATCTGGTAAGGTCCTTGTTGGTGGGTGGTGATACTTCACAGCAATGCAGGGTATCACATGGTGAGAATGGCTTGAGCAACAGAGAACTAAGTTTCTCACTTGCTGTCTTATAAAGCCATTAGAACCACACCCATTACTCTATGAATGGATCAATCCATTCACAAGGGCACAGGCTTCACAATCTATCACCACTAAAAGGCTCCACCTTTCAATTACCCTAATAGGATTTCCCACCCTCTTAATGCTGTCACAGTGGGGATAAATTTCTAATACATTAAACTTTGGGGGACACATTCAACCCATATCACTATATATCTATTTAATAACATCACTATCAATATGGCCCACTAAAGGGGCTCTCTCCTCTAATATATTTATTGGGGAATTAAGAGTTTTGTCATTTTTCTTACTAAACAGTCCAACCAGCAATTTCTTCTGAGTATCTATTTCTCCACCCTGCTGCTCCAGGCTCCACTAAGGACTCCGCTACGGCTGCCCAAAGCTCCCAATCAGAATCCCCCCATTAGGTGAGTGTGCAAAGAGTACTCTTCCCTGTACTTGCCTGTCTATCTCTGTGCTTCACAATACAGCCACAGAGCCTTCACTGAAGAGCTGGGTTAACTAAAGATTATATTATAGGAGGGGAACAACTGTAAAATTGTCAGCAAAAATAGTCTTTCCTCCATAGTTCATGGGAAAAGAACCTAATTTATACATTTAACACATTTATGCTAGCTATTCCCTAATGTACCCAAGGCAGATGAAATCTCTCTCTATGGTGGTTTCATTTGAGCAAGAGGAGACAGACAAGAAATAAGTAAACATACACATTGCCAACATAATTAGAGATGGAGGAGCGAAATAAAGAGCGTTACTTCTGATGGCTCTTCTGGGAAGGTATCTGTGTGTCACTCTGAACTTGAGCTGAGACCTGAGTGATGGGGAGGAGCTGGCCTGTGAAAAGAATAGAGTTGCAGAAAAAGAGACCACGTGAAACTCTTCCCAGGGGCCCCTTCCCTCAGACCATTGCCTCTCTTCACAAGTGTCACCTTCTAATCTCCTCCTGCTTACCAACACAGTCCTACCCTCAGGGAATGGTCACCCCCAGGAAAGGTCTGCTTCACAGCTGCAGACAACATTTAGTTACATCCCTGGATGGTGGGTCCTGTTAGAATGAACTGTTTTCACCTCCAGACTGTGAAGGTTTCCCATGCAGGGACTCTGCTATTTATCCACATTGTCTGGGAACTCAACCCAATTTCTTTAATTACTGTTACTGAACGGCACAGCTTTTGAATGGATTATTAATCCGAAGTCCTTTGTTTTCCATTCCTGTTCTGCTCACCCACTTATTTTTTCAGACCACACTGTTCTAAGTCTCAATCACGTTAAGGTCTAGCAGCCACCGTATTGGCCTTCGGGCTGTCTCAGGAAGGGCGGGGAGCTCCGGCTGCGCGGGGTGACGGCGCCAGGATGACGTCACTCGTGGTGGGCCGGCTCCGCGCGGCCGTGACGTCACACGGGCGGGTCTGTCCGCCTTGAGGTAACCTGGTGGGAGCGGCCAAGTCGAATCTCCAGTGTCGTCACGGGACGGGGCGGGCTCAGAGCGTGTCAGCGCAGCCGAATCAAAACAAGCCGGAGACCCGCCTTTTCCCTCCGGCTCGGGAGCGTCTCGCCCCCGGCCCGGGCCCGCGGCGCCCGCGCGGCTGCGGTCCTCGGGTGGCCGCGCGCCGGCTCCAGGAAGCCGGGGAGGGCACGGTGGCCGGGATGGCGC